TATCCATCTGCCTTGGCCTCCCAAGTGCTGAACTACAGGTGTGAGCCACCTCACCTGGCTAGAATCTGCATTTTTTTTTTTTTTTTTTTTTTTGGGGAGGGTGTCCCTTTAGTTTTCCAGGTTGAAGTACGGGAGCACAATCTCAGCTCACTTGCAGCCTCTACTTCCTGGGCTCAAGGGATTCTCCCACCTCAGCATCCTAAGTAGCCACCACCATGCCTGGCTTTTTGTATTTTTTGTATTTTTTTTTTTTTAAGTAGCGATAAGGTTTCACCATGTTGCCCAGGCTGATCTAGAACTCTTGGACTCAAACAATCCCCCTATCTTGACCTCTCAAAGTGCCGGGATTACAGGCAAGCGCCAGGCCAGAATATGCATTTTTAAGATTCCAAAACTGTGGAAATGGCCAGTCCATTGCCCACACTTTTTGTGCACTTTTGCAGACCTCCAACGAGGGCCAGTGCAGTGCCAGAGCCTAGCAACCCGGCAAGGGAATGACCTTGCTCTAACTACGGAGGGACAGTCTTTGGAAGTGGAGTTCTGAAGGACCATCATTCCTTTCTTTCAGTGGAGATGCTAGACTGCTAAGAAGGTGAGCAATGCTGCAGGCAGCGCACAGGGCAGCGCACAGGTAGGCCTGGGGCAGGGGGCTTCAGAGCCTTCGCAAAAAAGAAGATGGATTCTCTCTACGCTATCAGGGAAAGCTAAATACAGAGCTCTAGGAGAGAAGATGCTGCTCTCAAAGCCACAGCTTGAGATGTCATAGCTTGAGACCAGGCTCAGGTATTTCACTCTGAGTAATGTGAAGGGGCAGCATGGAAGCTCATGAACTACACAAAGCTGGGTCTGCATCCCAGTTCTGCCTTTATTAGCTGGGTGACCTTGAGCATGTCACTTCACCACTCTGAGCTCCAATTTCCTCATTGGTAAAATGGGTATAACACCACCTACCTTGCAAGGTGTTTATGAATTTTATTTATTTATTTATTTATGTATTATTTGAGACAGGGTCTTGCTTTGTCACCCAGGCTGGAGTGCAGTGGCGTAATCTCGGCTCACTGCAACCTCTGCTTCTCAGGTTCAAGCAATTTTCGTGCCTCAGCCTCCCAAGTAGTTGGGACTAGAGGCGCTCCCCACTACACCCAGCTAATTTTTGTATTTTTAGTAAAGACAGGGTTCCACCATGTTGGCCAGGCTGGTCTTGAACTCCTGACCTCAAGTGATCCACTTGCCTCGGCCTCCCAAAGTGCTGAGATTACAGGCGTGAGCCAACATGCCCAGCCACATGAATTCTAAATATAAAGTGTGTAAAACATCTGCTCTGGCATGCAGTAGGTACAATAAGTGATGGCTTTCAGAAAACAAAATTCTCTGTAAAGAATGCAAAAAGGCTATGAGCTACATGGCATAGAGCATGGGAAAGTCTGCTTATGGGTGAGAGGCAGGAACCATATCTTCATCAGACACTTTTTAGGCCTCTAATTCTCCTTACTTTATTTTTCTGTCTTGCTGTTACTCTGAGTTGGATTAGTGTGAGTGTTGCCTCTGCTTCCTGGAATATTCATTCTGAAAACTCCCCAATCTCCGCTACTTTAAGGAAAACAGGACCAGCAACTAAAGCTTGACTGAGAAAGCCGAAAGGATTCAAGGGCCCTGGATCCTGACCACTGTTGGGAATGGGTACTGGGGAAAAATGACACGGAGTTTGCGGAAGGCCTCAGGAGGAAGAGTTAGGGCATTGTGGCTGCTGGTCCTGTCTTCATGAGCTTCTCTCAGATTAGGGATGAGGGTGGGATTCTAAGAGCAAGGACTGTCTCTTCCATCACATACACACACAAGCACACAGACACATACACATAATCAGGTACATGTACTCCTCCCCCCAGCCCCAGCCCCAACACACGAGTTCCCTACTCACCTACTACACCAGCAATAAGCAATATCAGGAGCTATGAGAAACCAGGTACACAGTTTACCTCAAACCTTCCTATGAGCCCAGAGTTAAGAGTACTGAGAGATGGGGAGACAAGCACTTTCTGATGGAACAGCAGATCAGAAGCTCATATAGTATAAAGATAGGGTTCCCCAACATTCCCTTTCACAGAGCCTCACAGGATAATCATTCCTTTGGCCTTAGGTAAAAGTCCCCCCACATTATAGATGCCTTCTCTAGCTACCCTACTGTCTCCCACCTTGTGCCAACTGCATAAAAACTCCAATTGCTGTCAACCCCACTTTCTACACCTATCTAGACTCCATCCCTCCTCTCTATCCTCACAGTCAGTCTGCATCTTAGCTCTGGTTTCCCTAGTAGCATGAGCTACTGCACTAGCCTCCTTATACCCTACTCTTGCCCCTGCCCTTAAAGCTGTTCTCTACTCTGAAGTCAGAATGGTCTTCTAAAGCACAAATCTCCAGCTGACGCAACATGGCAAAACCCCATCTCTACAAAAAATACAAAAATTAGCCGGGCGTGGTGGCATGCACCTGTAGTCCCAGCTAACCGAGGCTGAGGCTGAGGTGAGGAATCACCTGAGCCCAAGAGGTCAAGGCTGCAATGAGCCAAGATCACACCACTGTACTCCAGCCTGGGCGACAGAGTGAGATCCTGCCTCTAAATAAATACATACATACATAAAGCACAAATCTGATCATGTCCCTTTCCTGCCTAAAATCTTTCCAAAGCTCTTGATAAAAATTGCCCTCTGGATAAAATCAAAAGTTGTCAGCCTGGCATTCACAAAGACACTTCTTTACCCCAGAGCAACAATGTC